CATGTTCATGATCAGCAAGGGCCATTTTGTGTTTTATCTCCTCTTGCTCTGTATCTGTGAGAAAGCAATTTAATTTTTTCCTTTGTCTGAAATTAGAGAAGAAAATCTGTCAAATGCAAAATCTGTGTGCCAACAATCTAATTAGCAGAACCCTTCTTTGAGTAGGATTTCTTTTGAATGGATGACATTGTGTAAGATATCTGTGGTGTGCCTGGCTTGAAAGTCAAACATCTAGCATTTAATACTGAGACATTTGTAATTGCTATTGTGTTACACAACAGTCTGAAAATTCTTTTTGGAAAATGAAGCCTGGGTCAGATTCCTGATTTAGGGGTCTCAGCAGTGGTCAATGTGCACTGCTGGATGTAGTGGCAGGTATCTCCACTGCTTGTCAGGGCCTGGTATTGGGAACAGATAATTCCAGTAGAACCTCTCTGTGTGTTTGTAGGACTTAACCCAAATCCACAGAGGATTATCAGTTTTAAGCTGTTTCTGCTAAGATTTGAGTGGAATTGTAACATATTATTTTCTTCTATAATGTAGCAATATTGCTGCACATATACTACTAATAAACTACTATTAATCATAACATATGAATGCAGATTCATGATTATGTACTGTTACTATTATATTCTGATGTACATATATTAATATATCTGTAAGGTACATATGGGGGATGTTTTGATGGACAGAGGCATTGAGACACCTGAACTATAGGGAGGTGTATGTTTCTAAAATTTCTATTCATCCACTCTCTTAAAGCACAAAAAATTTTCATAAGGGAGAAAATTAATTTTATGTACCTTATTCAAAATCAGTTGAAAATCTGGTTTAAGGTCTGTTCTGCAGGTAAGCAGCTGTGTCAGTTAGAAAACACCAGAGACTGCTTTTTGTGTGTGACCTGGTAATTACAGTCAAACAAAAACTTGGAAATACTTTCTGTGCTAATTAGAATGTGGAGTTATGCTTAAAAAAAATAATGTACAGGAACAATTGCTTTGAAATCCTTAGTGCATTGTCCTGCTAGACATCCATATATTACACAGACATTATTGTTGCTGTCAGTCTCTTCATCACATTCGTTGTCCTCTGGCAAGTCCTTGTCCAATCATGCTTCGCTGGGCACCCTGATGTTGTTCCCACAAGTTGTCAGGTCACATTTGTAGGTCTCTGCAGAGAACTCCAGTCCTGGCTGGTGTTTCTGCTTTAGTTATTCCTTTGATATATGGTATTCAGTCAAGGGAAAACTTACTTGCAGTAATTTTCCTCCAGACTGCCTTTATCTGAGAAATCATGATGATTTATTCAGCATTTTTTCTTATGAATCAGATTGTCTGGGGTTGATGGAGGAAGATAATATACCAATAAGATCTGCAGAGTCATATGCAGTGGAAATGGATGCTGGTCAAGAGAGGCATTTAAATTCTGTCTCTTCCATTACCTGCACTGCAATTCCTACTGACTGTCTTGACTGTCCTAACAAAATTCTTAAGGTTATTCACATGTTTCAGAAGTAATCAACATATTGCTGAAAGCTTTGGTCTTGCCAAAATGTCAGAGTGACACCAAGGTCTCTTAAATGCTAAAATACAAGTGCCTGGAGGAATGTGCCCAAGTCCTTTGAGTTTTTGAGCAATAAAGTTTGCTAGAGCATGTGAGGATTAAGCTTGGTCCTTATGCACTTTCACACAGTTTTCTTACTTGTAATTGTTTCTCAGTTACAAGTATGTTCCAAGTAACAGCATATTCATTTTCAGTGAATTGGCATTTGTAACCAGATTTATTCCTACTTCAATAAAAATGAATTATTCTTAAATTGGGTCTTACTTTTTGACAGAGGAATACATAATACATGCATGTTAGGAACTCTAGCAGAACTTGAACCAGAGTGAGTTCAGGGGTTGATTAGTGATTTCCAGACACCAGAGAGACAAACATCAGTAACCTTTCTACTCCTAGCAGGGTTACCAAGGTAGAATTCAAATCCTTCAATAGGTCTTGCTATTATAGGGGCAGATTTTCAAAGGTTCTTAACCCAGATTCTAATTTAGTGCTGCCACTTTAAGCCCACAGCATGCCCAGGCAAACTAGGCTAATAGTGGGTATTTACACACTTGGGGCAGCTTCCACCAGAGCTGCTCTTTTGAGAAGGGACAGGCAAGTTTGACATTAACTTCTCCCTTTTGCAACTACTCTATTTGGGCACCTTTTAGTTAACATCTTAGGAGTGTTCAATCAGTCACTAGTTGTGTTTGGCACTTCTCATTTAGAGCTCACCCTAGTGTGTGCTGCTGTGGTGTATTTTAACCCTGGATCAATGTCCAGCGTGTTCCCTCCTCTGTATTTTCTTCAGGATGTCTTGGACTGGCTGACCTGGGGCTTTTGGGACACATATTCTGACATGAGAGCACATCTATTTAAAACACATCTGGTACTATTAAGTATAGTAGTGAGAAGTAATATACATGTTGCTGCTTTTGACATATTTGGGGTTTTTAAAGGGTTTTCAGCTTTTTGTAACTTTTTTTTGGTGCTACACACAGGAGAAAGCAAAGCAGCTGCTTTGAGTCTGTCTGAATGCTGAGGGGAATGACACCTGGGTGACTACAAAACATCAGAGCAGGCAGCTGTGCTCTCACCTCAGTGCCAGCCATGTTTTGTGGTGAGGCAGTTTGAGTTTGCCTTTGGAAACTTTGGCTTCACAGACACTGTTTTAAGGAACATCTGTCTGCAGAAGCTGAATTGAGCATCCTTACACTGGGCCTCCCAACCCTTCTGTCTGCAGAGGTGCAGTAATACATAACACACAGGGGGTCTCACAGTCAGGAAGGGTTTGTGAGACTTGGATGCACATGGTAACTGGGAATTTTGCCATGAAAATGTCAGGACACATGTTGCACGTATCCATGTTCTAAAGTGGTGCAAAGCATGTTTAATGGGCAAACCCAATACAGGCTCTTTTTCAGGAAACTGATGGCTTGTGTAATTTACTGTGTGATAAATTAGATATTGGGTTTTGCTGTAGGCACTGTTTTTTCATATGTGTTACTGTAAAACTGATATTATATTCCCTGAAACATTAGATTCTCGGAACAGGGTGTAATTACAAAGAAATTAATTTGGATTTAATAAGTTACTGTCAATACAATTTTTGTTGCTCTTTAGAGAAACAAAAAAAAATGCCATGTACTCATTTACAGATTTAAATTACAGATGAATTAATACAGTTTTACAAGGTGAGCTCAGGAGAGCCTCAGTGATTATCCTGGGTGACTGCTGATTTTTTCTGTTAAGAGAATTTTCTGGGTAAAAATAGAATGTACTCAAAGGTCATGATGGATTAAGTCTCAGGAATCTAAACTAAGAAACTTCTATTTGACTTTGCCAGTCACAGCACCAAGGAGTTTTCTTTACAACAGCCCACGAGCTGGTTGTTCACAGATGGCAGGTTCTGATGTGCTGTGCTAAACTTGCCACCTGCCAGCAGACAGGAACTTCTGAGTTTGGAAAGCTGAAGCTGCAGGTGGTGGTGCTTCTGTGGGAGTGAAGGGAGAAGGTCTGTAAATGCACACCTCACACAAAGGAACAGATTTTAGGTGGAGTAGGGATGTTTTTTGTAGAGGGATGTCACGCTGCAGTAGAGAGGGAGAATGGGTACAGCAGTTCAGCCTAAGTGAACTTCCTGAGAGAACAGGCTTCCTTAGCAACATAACACTGTCTACTAGATTAGGTATTTTGGCAGCATTTTCTACTTCAATATATACTTAAATACTAAGGTCTTTGTATTATTAATTAGATTTAAATTAAAACTGGTAGTTTTAGATGTTCCTTTTTGCATGTTGTTTCAATTGCTGTAGAGCTATTTTGAAATTAAATGCTTGTCTGTATGTTTTCATGTATGTTTAAATAATAAATCAACACTGAAATCAAGTATTAACACCATCAGCTTTAAAAATTCTGATTCACATCCATTATTAAGCTTGTGGCTAAGTCATGCTGTAAGTGTAGATGGCTGTTTTGGCCTGGGCCACATTCCAGGCTGGAGCACAGTGCAGTGCCAGTGCAGCTGTGCTGCCTTTGGAGCCACATGGGGCTCACCCTTCTGGAGCCAGAGGCATTAAATGTGGCCTGCAGGCACATCAGCTTGCCTTCTGTCCAGAACTATGTACGAGGCCAGTGCCAGTCTGCTGGAAGCCAGACTGGCCCACAGACCCAAGTTTTATCCATACTGTGCTCCCTGATATTACTGATAATTACCAGTTAAAAAAAACCCCCTTTGCTCCATCAGTGTCTCAAGTTTCTGCTACCTTTTCAGCAATACCTGGCTGAAACTTGTTAGGTGGTCTGCTCTTTCATGGGTTAATTTAATAATGGTAAAAGTATAATAAATAGGAAATAATTTTTTCCTCAATTTTTAAGAATCTTATGCTATTTATTTTTGGAAAATTTTAAAGTTCTATTTTGTGTAGTTTGTTCTTCTGGATTTTGATTGTATGTATTTAATAATATTTCAGTTTAAATAGGAGTGAAAACTATATTAGGATTTCAGTGAACTTTATATAAGGGCAAATAATTGCTTACTGCAGATTAGAATTTTTTGGCAACAAGTATTTAACTTTCAAAATTCAGAGTTGCTTTACCTTTGCATAAACAAAACATTTAATATTTTTCTTTCTTCAGAAAAATAAAACACTTTTTAGAAAAAAGGTATTTAAAACTTGAAAATATAAGAATGGGTGATGTTTCTTAAGAAGAGATCTCAGAAGAATGTGATTAGGATGTCCCCAGTCTTACAGCTCAGCAGTGCTTGTGCTGGTTATTTCTTCCCCACATTGTGCCTGGATGCTCTTCATTCCAGAAGAACTTCAGACTCCAGGTTTTTCTGGATTATGTGCCAGCAGGATTGCAGGAAGTGCACACTCAGTCCTGATAGGTTTCTGTTAGTCTCAGTGCCATGAAGTAGCTCTCTAATGATTTCTTTCTTTTGCTGTGTCCTTTAGGGAAGGATTGGTACCTGGTGCACGTGTCACTTACTGTGACAGATGTGAATGACAACGTTCCTGAGTGGGCCATGGAGCCCTTCCCCTTCCTGGCTGTGGTTTCTCCTGAGGCTGCAGGAGGGACTGAAGTGTACAAGCTGCTTGCTGTGGATGCAGATGAAGGGATCCATGGAACTGTAGAATATTTTCTCTTGGAAGGTAAATTTTAACTCTCCCATTCCCCGAGTATTATGCCTCACTATTGTGACTTTTTTAGCCTCAGCTTTACTTTTCCTTCCTCCTGCAAAAGGCTGATAAATCTTCAGCACCATGTGTGAGAAAAATCAGCTTTTATTGATGTATGTATGGATTTCTTTGCAAAGTTCAGTTCTTGCCAAAATATATCCCTGGAGATGATGGGGACTGGAGCAGTCAGTAGTCCCAAGGCTTTGGGAGGGAGTGGCAATGGGGACTGTATTTATGAGACAGTCTGTGGAGGAGTAGTTAGTTGGGTGGAAAGGAGAGTTAATGTTCCTATCCCTTCTGGGAGTCATGCTTCTGGTTCATTTGTAAAAAACTTTCAAAGGTCTGGGTTGTGCAAACCTTGTACAAACTCAGTGATAATATTTTCTGTAAAGTTAAAAAACTTTAGTAATAGTTCAAAAGTGTCTGAGCAGATGAGGAGCAACAATACCTCTCCAGTGGAGTATTTTCTGGTAAGGGATACTTGGGGTCAAACAACAGCAAAATTTTGGAGGATGAAAGAAGGAGACTATTCAGAAGGACCTGGAGTGACAGGACAAGGGGGAATGGCTGTAAACTGACGGAGAGTAGGTTTAGGTGGGATATTGGGAAGAAATTCCTCCCTGGGAGGGTGGGGAGATCCTTTAACAAGTTGGCCACAGAAGCTGTGGCTGCCCCTGGATCCCTGGAAGTGTCCAAGGCCACATTGGACAAGGCTTGGAGCAAGCTGATCTTATTGGAGGTGTCCCTGCCCGTGGCAGGGGGTGGAATGAGCTGGACTTTAGGGTCCCTTCCAATCCAAACTATTTTATAATTCAATGATAAAGAAGAATGATAATTGTCCAGAGAGGGAAATGGAATTTTGAAATGCAGTCATGAATGGTGAATGTAATGACTGATTTCTAAGTTTCTTTTGAACCTTAGTGTGCATGCTGATCGTAAGCCAAAGCCAACTTGGGAATTGACACTGTAGTCTCCTCCTAATTTTGATCAAATAAAAATGTTCTTACTGATGACAATTTGTGGATGTGTTCCTTTCAGGTGGCCAAGACAGATTTGAAGTGGAGAAGGACACTGGCTGGATTAAAACAACAGGTTTGCCATTGGTGAGGGACAAGGAGTATTTGCTGACTGTACTAGCAGCAGATAAACTTGGAAGCAGAGGGCCCCCAGCCTCTGTTTCTGTAATTGCTGGATTTCGACCACCACAGTTCACCAACATCTCATACTTTGTGTATGTTCCTGAGAGCACCCCGCAAGGAGAGCCGTAAGTAGCAGCTCACAACAGTGCAGTGAGGTTGTGGTCCTGCTTTTGACTTCTGTTTGATCTCCCAGAGCCTTGGCATTGTTTGTGAATCATAAATAAATACTGTGAGATGCAATTTAGGTCTCTTAAGAGAAGTGATTCAGACACAGTTTGGTGATATATTGTTTGAGTAGCCCTTTTACAGGGAGAAGTGCTATTGAATAGTTGTGTTTTCTTACTTTTTGAAATGATATGAAAAGGATTAGATGTTGATTGTTTCTTAACTTTCAAACAAAATGCAGAATACAAATGAGTACTGTTACATTATGAAGAAAGGTATCCTGTGTGAAAGAACACATTAATTTTATGTGTCAAATTTGGAGAAGTGCCTTCTCCACCAGGTGAAAATTGGAAAAATCAAGATTCTTTTTCCTGTCTTCATCACAATGACAAACTGAGCTAAAATGAAGATGCCACAGAACTTGTCATTTTATTTCTCCATTCTTTGTATAACCATGATAGTTGAAATATCACAGAAAATGTAAGTAACATAAGCCCATCTGAATACTCAGTCCCTTCTTTTCCAAACCATTTTTCTCTTACAAAAAATATTTTCTTTTCTACTTGAATCAAGAATACTTTTGTCCAGTCAATGTGTTCCTTCTGTGGCAGTTCAACTATTGTTCATATTATATTATCAGTGGTGCTAATGTTTAGTCTGGAACATTCAGTTTTACAGTGTCTACATAACTAAGGACTGTTAAGATTTAAAAACAATATTAGTAGATAACAAGGTTTTTCTTTAAAACTGCAATAAAATTAAATTGCACAGGCATAAAAGAAATTGAATAATTTCAAAATACTATGGTGTCCAACTGTCTTGGCTTCAATAATGTTTAGAATTAAAAATAAAATTATTCATAACTTTTTAATCACTATCAGAAATAGGTTTGCACACCTTAGATAATAGTAGACTAGTCAGTTGATCAAATTATTTGGTCATATCTAAAAGGAATGAAGTATTTTGTGTGGTTATTATATCTGAAAAGGTTTGAATGTACATAATGAAAGTGTGAAAGTAGTTTCTGTAATGTGTTGGCCAGAAATAGCCATGAAAATCCATTTAGAATCCTAAAATTCTCATACTTGAATTGAGCCAATTACCCAAGTATGCAGGTGTAGTGGTTTTGGTTTGCCAGAGCAGAACAGGGTTGTTGTCATGAACTGAATATCTGGTTTAGGATTAGTTAGAGCCTGATTTCAGGCTGCTGCTGAGCAGTGGATCATCACCAAATCTTTCCCTTCCTTTGGTCTGCCTGTCACACCACTGAGCTACAGCTGCACAGGCAGCCTGAGCTGAGGAGGTACAAAGTCAAAAAAGGCAAAAAAAGTTTTCAGTTGGACTGTTAAATGTGCTTCCAGCATGGCCTTGAGATTTTCAGTGCTGGCAGGAGAGCAGAGGTGGCTTGAACATGCAGACAGGGCAAGGAGCTGGAAGGAGAGCAAAAGAATTCCTGTTGGAAGGAATGCAGTCATGCACCGGCTGAAACTGCCTGTGAGACCTCAGCACAGGAAAATAGAGGAGAAACTGAAGTGAGAAAATGACCTACAGCAGTGTTGTCCATTGGTTCAGTAGTGCACCAGAGGGACATGAGACACAGCAGCATGGCAATGCAAGGGGGAAAAAAGGCGTTTGCACAAAAGGAGTTTGTGTTTTTTTGACTGTAATTGCCACAGGATCATGTTGGTGTGTTCTCCTGGGAGATGGAATTTTTTTTCCTAAGCAACTTGCATATTAAAGCAAACGACCTTGAAGAATTAGTTTTCTGGTTTAAATCCTTTAAAAATATTTAAATTTCTCCTTTTGCTTCTTATTGTGGGTGTTTCCTCTTGAAGGCTTTAAACATATTGCACTTCAGTGGAAAAACGATAATGTCAGATGAGCTAACAATATATGTCCAGTATAAGCTGTAACACTCACTGCTATTAGGGCCTGGCTTTTATCTTTTTGCTGTTATCTGTTGGAACTTTAGGATGGTATGACTGCAGCAAACTTATTGTGCTGTTATTAAAACAAATCTTTTTCATCTTGCTTTATCTTTTAGTTTCCTGCCTGAAAACCATCACAACCACAGAAGGAAGTTGAAGTAGGCAAATTCAGTTGCAGCAAAATTTAAATCCTCTGTTCCTGCATTTTTAATCCTTACTGTGTTCTGCTTCCAAGAATCTTTATCTGTTTAACCCCAAGGTGATAGAAGCACCGTGTAACAAAATGCTCAAATTTGGTGTTTAGATACAGCTGTCACTGAGTTCATTGAGGATACCTCTGAGCAGACCTGCAGGGTTGCACCATCATTTCTGATATGTGTCGCTTTTGTCATATTTTTCACAATGTCGTGTTACGTCCTTGAGTCCTCTCTTTTTATTTCTTTTAATGCAGCTTTCTTACAGTCACTGCTGTGTCATATCAGAAGAAATCCCTGAGCTACAGTCTGCTCACTAATCCTGGGGGTCTGTTCAGCATTGATCAGGCAACAGGAGAGCTCAGTCTAACTCGAAGTGTGGATTATGAAGGTGACTCCCACCAGTACCTCCTTTTGGTCAGGGCTGAGGAGAATGAGGGGCAGTTCAGCACTGCTGCTGAGGTAGGTGTTCCTCTCCAGCAGCCTGGGTGCATTTCCATTTTCCTTAATCTTTTTGAATCTGGACAGATTCACCAGGAGTTCCCATTTTCCCATGCTGGCCATTCTGCTGTCTATTTCAAAAGTCTTTCTGTCTATGGGGAGATGTTGGATTAGGGACTCTTGGATTTCACTCTTGCAGATGCTCTAAAAGCTGTTTCTGAGGGATCAATATGCTGTCCCATCATAGATCCCAAGCCTTATCTGATAACACATGGAAATGGATGTGGCCAAGCCAGGCATGAGGTTTTGTCTTACTCTACTTTCATCGAGTGTGAGGTACATTTCAGATTATTCCATTCTAAAACAAAGGCAGGACAAAGAATTACTTGTTTTGTATCAGGAACACAAAGTGCACTCGTAAAACAAGAAAGAAATAAAAATTCACTGATATTAAAAGGTGATGGTTTGTGGTATTTTAGAAAGCTGTTTGACAGCAAAAATATTTCTTAATATAATTATTACAGTTATTTAAATTCAGAGATTCACTGAACTAGGAAAAGCATACTATATGAGTTTGTTCATGCTTTAGGATATTTCCTGATAGATAGGGAGCTGGAGACAGAATTATTAGGCTCAAGTGTGAGGACACAGAGAGATAGGAAGCAGTATGCCAATGTTTTGAGTACTACAAGATGAAGAATAGTAAAATATGACTCAAAAGAGGATTGTGAGATGATTTTACAAATATGTTTAGCCTAGAGGTAGTTTAACTTGTACCTGCTTTACACTGATGCAACCTCAATAGTTGAGAGAGCAGCTCTAGCTCATGCATATCTGCTCTGCAGGGCTCATGGAATGCAGCTCTGCAAGGCTCTGTAATGCAGAATGCCTTCACTAACTGCAGGAGGTGCAGCAGCATGAGCACCAGAAAGACTCCTTTACACACTCCTTGGTGTTGGGAGCGTTAACTGTGGGCTCATATTGGACACAGGAATAAGAAAGCATTTGTAAAGATGTTAGAGGCAAAATTGTATCTCTTACTTAGTTTACCAGAACCATAGAATATCCAGAGTTGGAAGGGACCCACAAGGATTGAGTCCTACTCCTGGCCCTGCACAGACACCCCAACAATCCCACCCTGTGCCTCAGTACTCCTTGAGCCCTGTCAGGACCGGGGCTGTGATCACTTCCCTGGAGATCAGTTCCACTTACATCTGATTTGTACTGCTGTAATTAAATTCAGAACTAGGTCTTAGAGATTTATAATGCTAAAATGTAATATGCTTGGCAGTAGAGTTTTTAGTGTTACAAATCACAGAAGTGTTGCAAGATAAGATAATGGAAAAAGGGTGCTTGGCAAGCAGATGGTCCATTTTCCTTTAAACTAGTAATAAGGAATAATCAATGGAGATGAAAGGTGAGTGGAAAACATTGCTGCAGGGTCAGAGACTTGGCAATTTCTAGTATCTTGGAATGTAATATTTCAGTGGCACTCAGCAGACAAAGAGCAATCTAAGAAAAATGTCTTACCCTATAGCTGCTGAAGACTTCAATGATGTTTTTGGGAAATTCTTCCTTGTGGTATTTCCAGAGCAGTGAGGTCATTCCCTTGATTCACTTTGCTGTTTAACATTCCCCTCTTCTCCATTAAGGTTTTGGTTGTAATCACAGATGTGAATGATTGTGCCCCCGCATTTCATCAGTCGATTTACAGCAAAGTTGGTGTTCCTGAAACAGTTCCTATGACAACTGCACTTCTCCAAGGTTAGTGCTCCTGAAGCCATTTATTATGTTCACTGTATTTTTCTCCCTTGTACTATTTAGAATTCAGTTCAGAAAACAAAATTACCTGTCCCAGCATGGGTAGTTGCAGCTCTCTGAAAGCAAATTACACCTTGTAGATTAATGTCAGAGTTATTTACTGGTGCCACAGCCCAAACAATTTTAAGGGACAGGAAGGCAAAGGAAAGAGATTTTCTTTGTGGAATTTTGAAGTAACAGAATTTTGTTGTGGTTGGTATTACAGCAGCAGGCTCATAGTAACGGTCTTGCTACATTTCTTGAAGGAGGAGAGTGATCCTGGGTCAGAAGTTATGGACACCTCAACTCCCCTTCTTTGCCTGTCTCTGGGAGTCCTGTGTGGGCTTGCTGTAGGAATTCTGCTCTCTTGCATTAACAGAATCTTGTACACTTTAACTGTTCTATGTGAGGTTTTGTTTGGATGCTTGACAACAAGACTTTGCTTCTTCCCAGGGAGACCAAGAACTTGAGCTTCAAGTGGTGGTGCTCTGTAAAGCAAGAAAAAAAATTGAGTCTATTAAGCATTTGTATAAGGGCCTTGTATTAATCTTTAACCCTTACACAAACTTTCTCTAAATCTGGAGGGAGGAAAAGGAAATTCAGCTGCTGGAAAATTGCTTTTCCCTAGTAAATAGGCTTTTGTAACCTCCTGTTGTTCTGCTTAGTGATTTATCCTGTACTAATGGTAGTTTGTTAGTTACTGGTCTGGTAACTGTGCTTTTAGCATATATTTTTGTAAGTTATGAATAGGATCTGAAAAACACATAATGCACATCAGTTGAATAATATATGTAAATGTCCCATATTTAATTGCACATTGATCTGAGTGATTTTGAGTCAGCAGTGTAGGTCAGGTGGACATGAGAATATACTTCTCTATTTGGGAATATATTCTTGATGGTACAGGACTCTTTAACAAGCATCTTTAACAAGACTAACTAGCATCAAATTCTCACAGGGACTTAACTTTTGGTTTTTTATCTTACTTATTTTTGACTAAGGGTTAGTTTACTAAAAAGCACAAGGCACAGCAGAGTTTTCTGACTGATTTCAAGCACAACATGCCAAGGCAAGTCCTACTACAGTAGTAATAAATGCACTTACCATTCCAATTCACCAACTTTGATCTATACAATATCTTTCTCTTCTAACAGTGACAGCCACTGACTGTGACTCAAAGGAGAATGCCCAGTTGCTGTATTACACTCTGAGCCAAGACTTCAGCATTACTTCTCATGGCACTATTTTTCCAGCCACACGGTTGGACTACGAGCGCCCTGAGCACCTCTATGAGTTCATCATTATGGCTGTAGATCAAGGGGAAGAGCCCAGGACTGGCACAGCAACTGTTAGGATCCATGTCTCCAATGTGAATGATGAAGCACCTGAGTTTTCTCAGACAGTGTAAATACATATTCTTCAGGCTCCATTGTCTTTTACTGTTGCTTTTTGTATTTTGGTTGAGTGGCTTATCACAGAATGGCAATTGGTTTTGGTTCAATCAAAGCTGAGAGCTTGTCTGACAAATGTGGGGTGATATTTGACTCTGAAACTCTCAGTAAAAAAAAAGGTAGTATATAGACAATATATTTTATTACATTTTTATTTATTATTATTTATTATATCTCTTTTATGCATTTTTTTTTCCAGTATGTACTGAAAGATATGGTGCAAAACTTTCAGATTACACAGTTCAGGCGCACCACTCCACCACCAAAGGAAATCAGGCAGAAAAAAACAGGCAATAGAGTTGTTGCCATCAGCCCTCACTCATCTAGAGACATGGGGGAATTTTGCCTTTTAATTAGGCAGTTTAAACTTAGAGTCAGCAGTCTGCATCCCTGGTTTATAGCTGTCAAAGAAAAATGCTTAGATGACACAATCCTAAATGGCAACTGAATTACAAAACCCACAAGATAAATGCCATTAAGTGGAGTTCACTTAATTTCACTTTCCATCCCCTACAAACTGTATGTATCTATTTTTTTTCTTCTAAATACTTGTAAACACTTTTCTTCCATAGCTGGGACCCAGCAGCATCGAAGCAATACTGTAAACTTGCACTGATGTTAGAGGCTTAGTAATGGAATTTCCAGTCAGCTTCTGTACCAACCTTCTACTCTCAAAAGTAGAAGTTGACCAGAACAAAACTGAGGCAAAGATTTCAGTGATGTTAAGCTTGGGGTTTAGCTGAACAAAACACCAAAGCTTTCTGACAATCCTTGTTTTATGTGCAGATAACCTCTGGCTTCAAAATCTTGTGCCATTCTTTCTTTTCTAAACATTGGCTTGGAGGAGATATGGCTAGGAAATTTTGGTATTTTGTAATTTAATGTTGGATTTCTCTATATTTTCAAATACTAATCCAGGTTATGTTTCTCATTCTTCCACTGATGCCTGTTTTTAATTTAATTTCTTTTACTGTTCAGTGACATTGAATATTTATCTGCATCTGTTCCTAATATTTTAATCAGAAGTGATACTATTTAAGATGCTGTAAACATCTCTAACAAATTGGAAACAGAAAACATAGTTAAAAAAAAAAATCCCTGCCAGGTCTTGTACCTAAAGGTTACTGAAGAAAATGATTAAAATAATATTATTTTAAGTTACCAAACCTTCACAAAAAGCTTTTCTGTTGCCTGTGCAATAACAGGGAAACTGCTGTTGTCTGTATGTGTAGATAGGCATTGGAATTGAATTCATCTCCTGGAATACAAATTATCTCAAGTTTTTGGTGAACTAGGCTTTGATGCTTTATCTTTCCTGTTACGAGAAAAATCTTGAACCCAGAGGTAAATTTCAGACAGAACTTATTGAAATTTTCCATGAAATAGAATCATTGTGAACACATGTAAATTGGGGCCCGTTGAGAGACTATTTGCAATTTAATGTTGTGCTCTGTGGCAGTCTAATACAAATCTTGGTGATGATGTTGTCCTTCTAGCTGTTTGTTGAAACAGATTTACAGTCCAGTATGAACTCAAGATTCCTTGCCATGAGCTCTCTTTCATTACAGTTATTCTTTATCTCAGTTATGAAATGCTAAAGGCTACCACTCTCTTTCATGTTGTCAGTTTTTACTTTCTCTTTTTTAAGAGATCTCTTCTAAACTCCGCTCTCCCTGTATTTCATGTAAAAAATTATCAGAATTACTGTTCATTTGCTTTTGAGATGCAGAGTTAACACAGTGTCTTGAGGTTTGTGACTGAGCGAAACCAGTATGATTTACTTCTCTTACTTCATTGCATATAAAACTGGGGGAAGAAAAGCTTTTTCTATGGAAGTTTCATAGAAAGCACAAGAAAAGTGAAGGAAATGGTTTTCTGTGCATTTGCTTTTCCTTTCAATTGTTTGCTATTTTTCAGCATCTGGCCAGTGTGTCCATAAGCACTGTAACCCAGTGGTGCATCTGGGTTGTGCTGGATACAGCCAGCTGCAGTTCATCCTTACAGCTGAGCTTTGGGATATCTCCTGTGGACAGGCCTGGTGGCTGCTTAGTCTGACACATGCTCAGTGCAGTCAGATAAAATAATAAATATTTGGGACTTTGCTAAAGCAGGGGGCTTTTCTTCTCCAGAGAGTATTAAGCTTAGGCTGATAATGCCTCTTAAGAGCTTACAATGTCAGTGATGTGTCTGGACTTGAGCAGAGATTTTTGTAAAACTGACATTATGCACATATCCTCCACATCTCACCCTCATCTTAGTCCTTCTGGGCCAAGGGCTGCACGGAAAGTCTTTTGAGGGCTTGTGTCAGAAAGTGCTGTGATGGGAACTGCTTTAACTTACCAAATGTTTGCTCGGAGTCTGTGAATCAGGAAGCTCATTTTTTTAAATTAAAAAAACCAAATGAATTCTGCATTTAGCACAAGTCTTATTGCACAGCTCATCTTCAAGGCTGTGGTACTGCTGAAAGTTTGGAGGGAAATGTGGGGGTAACAACAGAAGGATGTGGATGGCTGGATAGATCATCAATGCTGTCATTTCACTGCTTAACAAAAAAGTATCGTATCAGTACAATTGTATTGGAAAATTACAAATCCTAGTTAAATTCATGAATGTGTGTTGTCTGGGGTTTTTAACAGCTACAGGAGCTTTGTTTCTGAAGATGCAGGCCCAAACACGCTGATTGCCACAGTTAATGCTGTTGATCCTGATGGAGATGGTGTGACCTATGATATTCTGTCTGGAAATCAGAAAGGGAACTTTGTTATCGACCCTAAGAAAGGTAATTGTATATTAGCTCTTTGCTGCTGTGGTCATAATGCTGTTTCTGTTGGGATGCACCTTGAATTTGGTCTTATTAGCAAACTGAATAGCATGGACTATCCTTGAAGCTTAGTTTTAAAAAGTGCAGGGAAAGAATGCATGTACTTTCTTATAATGATTAAAAAATTGTATGATTTCCTAAAATCTGTGTATAATTGACCTCTCTTACCTGTTCAGCGTTTGGTTTCAATCAGTAACTTAATAGAGGGCATTATTACAAATAACAGGTAGCTTAAGAGATAGTAACTTAATAGAGAATGTTATTATTGATAACAGGGTGACATTCCAAAATGTCAGACAAGTATCTGAATAGAATTTAATATAAGAAACTGGACATCTGGGATTTTAAATGAGGCTTTTCCCTGATGTCAATGTCCTGATCATGCTGGTGAGAGAAAACATTTCTTGGCTGGACTTATCTCTGCTATGCTGACACAGAATCATGTGTTTGTAGGTGGAATGAGACTACCACTGTTTTATTTCAGTGAAGGTAAAAGCATACAAAATCTGAATTATTGAAGTATATTTTTCATTTAAGGCTAAAATCATTCACATGACCAGTGTTGTTTAGCCAAGAATACTGCATGCATGAGAAAAAAAGATAAATAAGTGCACAGACACCAACATCTGAGTAGGTTGGCATATCCTTTTAAATTAATAGGATTTATTTGCTGTTGATTGTTTGAAAAAAACAGAAGAGGATGTTTTGAGATTGAAACAGGCAAACAAATTGAAATCCTATTGAAGGATTAAAGTAACTTATTTAACTTCAGTTAAACTACTTTGTATTTTGAATGCAATCAAAATCTGAACTTAGATTTTCCAAAGCAGAAGCATTGAATACATAGGACGGAGCAAGCTACCCTTAGTTATTCCTTCACTTTATTTCATAGATTTCAAAATTTCACTTAACATGAAACTTTAATTTCAATGCAATCATGGTTTTGGAATATTAATGTTAGATTCTGAAACGTTCCCAAAAATATGGTCTGCAGGTAACTTGCAAGCATTGCATCATGACCCTGAGTTTACTATAAGCTTCTTCCTTTCTGACTTAAAAATAGAGTTCCAGGTTCCAAGAGTTAAATTTCTACAGATGCTTTGGCATCTGAAGAGGAACAAAGGTTTTGAAAGTGTCTAAAAGCTACATACATGACACTTCTGAAGATCTTTTTTGTGAGAAACAGATTTTTTTTTTTTTTGGTCAAAGCATCTCAACATTTGATTGATAGCATCTCCTGGGATTAGATCTATAGTTTTAATATAGAAAATCATGCATAGGTATATTTATGCTTTTTTGCCAATTAATTCTATAGTATTTGAAACTTAATTTTAGGAACATTAGCATTTTTTCCAAAACACTTTTAGGCTTTTGTTGCTGAATAAACCAGTAGAGGTTTATACAGTGGCTTACAGCAGTTTCTTTCCAGGAGTGATGTCAGGGGAATAGTCTGTACCCTCTTGTAGTAGAAATGTGGAGGTACAGTGGAGAAGTGTCAAAGGTGAGAGCTGCAGCTAAAATAATACATTTTCAAGTAAATTTAGTGACACTGATACTGTGAAAATACTCTGTTGTGGTGACAATTGTGATTATTCCTGATGAATAACAGATGTGATGGATGGTGGAGCAAACGAATGCCAGCCCCTTTCTGCAGTATTTCAGGCAGCTGTGGTCCCTTCTGTGTTTGTAGCACCTTTCTGCCAGTGCCTCTGTGTCCCACCCAGCACGGTGTGTCCTGTGGGGAATTCTGAGAGTGGCAGAACAGAGGTTTCTCAGCCTGTGCCTCTGTAGCTCAGTGCTGCTGTGACTGAGCTGCAGGAAGGTAAACTTGAAGTTAGTTCAGCTGAGCTGTCCATGGCAGCTGCAGATTTATGTGCACATTGGCTGAGTTGTGGCTGTTGGCTCAGTTTGCTCCGTAGACAAACCTGTTGTGATGTCTCACTTTTGTTTTGATGTGGGACTGCAATTAAACACTGCAGTTAAATTAAACAGCATAGCCTTATGGTTTATTGGTGAATAGGTAAGCCAGACTGCTTTGTTGTCATGATTACTAGTGAGAAGAATAGTGGGAATGGGTTAATATAGCAAAATCCCACAACTTGTTGTTTTTACAGGGCTAGTTAGACTTCGTGCAAGCCCATTTCCTGAGCTTCAGGGGACAGAATATGTTCTGAATGTCACAGCTACTGATGATAATGCCTCTGGAGGGCCCCATCCTCTCACAAGTACTGCCCAGGTTGTAGTGAAAATCGATGATGTCAACAATAACAAACCTGTCTTTCAGAAGGTAAATGTATAAGCCCCTGTCATTTGTACTGGACTGTGTAAAAATGTTTTAGCGCTGTTGGCACGGCAGGTGTGCAGCAGATGAGCTGGTCAAGAGGTGCTCTGCTTCCCTCTGGGTCCTGTCTTCTCCTCCTTCCCCATCCCTCCCGAAGGCTTTCACGGTTTTTTCTGCTCTTGTGGCAGAACAGCTCCTGTCAGCTCCTGTCTGTTCCCTGAACCACACCTCATCTCTGGCATTTCAGAGGATGAGGCCAAGTGAAACACTTCTGGAGATCCCATGTGGCACATGTGAGCAGGAATCCACAGGGATAGCTGTCTGTGCAGTGGGCTTGTCCCACAGTACTCCAGAATACCTCTCTAAATTACATAGGCTTCCTTTGGTGATTGTGTGCCTGGAGCTAATGAAGGAGAGAAGAATGAGTGTTTTAGCTTAAACAGTGAAGTACTGTAATACAAGAAAAGCTTGTATTTGGTTTCAGAATGTTAATTAATGTTAAAGATCTGTTGTCCAAAAATTTTAGGTGTGGGTGGTACTGATGGCTCAGATGTTGAGCAATGTTGCATATTTTGAAAAGTCAGAAGCTATTCATGTCAGTCTTAGAAATTCTCAGTAACCTCTCCTTGACAAAATGACTTTGTGTAGAAATCCCTTTTTGATCAAAACAATTCTGTGGTTTGGGCAAGTGTATGCCCTCTTTTTTATTAGACCTTTGCTAATATAGAAGAATATTTGCATTTGGAAGCAACTTTAACTTTTTCTCCAAATATTTGCTTTAGTTGGAGATGCTCAGTGTTTTGCTCATGTTTTGTGTTGTCCACAAAATAGCAAGAGAAATTTAAATTAATTATGGAAAAGATAAAGCTTTAACAGCAGAGCTTGGCAATGCAAGTGTAGCTAAAGAATCCTTTTTTCCCCCCTGATAGTATACCTCTAAATCAAAGGGCAAGGGAAGTCCTTAATTTTTCCCTTTTTAAAATTGCTCATTCTTTCTTTTTCTCCCCTCTCTTAGTGCCAGTATTATCGGGAACATGCTTCTGTCCTGGAAAACCAGCCTTCAGGGACTGTTGTTCTGCAGGTTGAAGCCACTGATGCTGATGAAGGGACCAATGGGATAGTGAAATATGGCTTGATGCACAGAGATGGTGTCCTGCCAGCATTTAGCATTCATCCTGACACAGGTAAAGCAAATGTCAGTACTGATAATGGCATAGAGAAACCACCTTGTAACACTGTTGGAGAACAGGCTTAGATAAAATCCGACTTCATGCTTTTTCATTTAGTGTTTTGACAGCAGACCAAATATAAACTGTATTAACTGCATGAACAAGTCTTCCATGAAACTAAGTTTCATACATGTCCAGCAGTGAACTAAAACTGATGTTTTCCTTGACATGTGGAAGTTTTGCTTTGTGAAGTAACTTGTGTGCTTTCATAACTGGATTTAAAAACCCAAACAAACCTATTTTAAGTGTATGTTATCTTGCAACATTGCTAATGGCATGTAAGTGATTTATCCAAATGACAGCAGTCTTACACACAGCAAAGGAGCTAAATCTCAGAAGGCCAAAACTAAGTTCAGGCTGAATTTCTGGAGGATAAAAGATCTGAAACGTTCCTTTATCCTGAACTTGGAGCTCTTCAAAAGAAACAATTTTTTGAGAAACTCATTTCCTTAGTTTGTACTTACCTCCATTTTCTAAAATTTAATTACACTTTCATTCTAATTCCAATTCCTCTGTGTGTGGATGTAAGTGTAACTAAAGTTTGAGTCTGTCTGAGCAATACAATGTCAGCTGTTGAAATTGTTAAATCTCATGTTTGGATCCTCGAACCCTAAGCTGATGTTATAGGTGTGTTTAACCTACTGCATTGTATCCCAATGTATTGACAGAAAAGTAATAATCTGCATGAAGAATATTGCCAGTTGCACAGAATTTTAACTCTTAGATATTTAATTTATTTTCAGGCATTCTGACAACTCTTCAGGTATTTGACCGAGAAAAACAGAGGGAATATCCCATCACTGTGACAGCAACAGATCAGGCAGCGGAGCCGCTCATTGGAATATGTCAGATCAATATTGTCATCCTGGACCAAAATGACAATGACCCCAGATTTGAAAACACCCACTATGAATGTAATTGAGAGTCATTGGATAGAGTTTCAGTGCCCTGAGTGTGAGCGTACCCCATGTCTCAGATTTTTGGGTTTTTGCCTATCCTGGCAGTAGAACATGTGGCAAATTTCGATGCATCCAGAGATGTACTTTGCTTATTTATTGCAGAGCTGTTACTCTGTGTAATGTGTGATGTAACATGTACAGCCTTGGCTCATAGGCCTGCCTTATGGGAAAGTTCCTTGAAACAATAGCCATGTCATTCATAAAGAGCAATTATTCTCTGGGTTAAAGTACAGTTAAAAGAAGTACCTTATAAGAAATAAGAATTCCAGGTTATGAATGAGGTAATATGAAGTTCAGATATGATCTGTGGCTCTGGAGTGATAGCAGTCCTTTGAAATACTCAGTGTGTGGCCATTGTTACAAGGAATAAAAAATTATACTAGAGTAATAATGTATGGCAGTTATTTCTTTATGGCTTACTAAAATGTCCATGGTAGTTTAGCAAATGAATGATCATTTTATCAAAGGAAATATCCTTTCCTTTCCTTAGATTTCCTCCGAGAGGACGCAAGAGTTGGGACCAGCTTCCTGCGTGTTGCAGCCCGGGATGATGACTACAGCTCAAATGCTGCCATTACATACTCCATAGCAAGTGATGAACCAAATTATTTACAGATCCATCCTACCACAGGCTGGGTGTTTGTAAACCAGCCCATATCTCAGGTATGGTGCTTGCTTTCTTTTTTAAGCTGACTATTTAAATATATCATAGGAGGGACTGAGGTCATGAGTTTGGCTTACCCCCTCAGGTTAAAGGATCAATACATCTATTTAAATTAAACATGAGTCTAAGGCTTTTAGCTGCTGAGTTCATGGACTGTGAATTGCATATGAGCAAGCCCTGCTTTCAGCTGGGAAGCAGCAGCCACAGCACTGCCTCTGAGACTTGCTCTTCCCATTTCCCTGGCTCTGGCATGCTGATTCCAAGGGCTGGAAGGCTGAGGTCATAAGCAGGGGAGCAAGAACCCAAGTGTAGCACTTCATTGTGTTCACAGGCAATGAGTCAAGACACAAACCTGAATAAGAACAAGTATGACATTTTGGTCCTGATACAGATTCCCAATTTGATGTATGTCAGTTCTGGTGCATTAAGCATAGCTGTTCCTCAGGAAGGTGAAAGCACAATTCATGTAGTTATCTAAAATTGATTAGTTTCAGCTATTTCTAAATACCTATATGAGCAGTTCTGTATTTTCATGTTTTAAAGTAATTTGTTTTGAAATTGAACTCTTGTTGTTGATGTCAGTCTTTAAATAGGTACTTTTAATACTGACATTGAACTTCTAAATAACTGACACACAAAAGTTTGGTGAAAGTGTATCCTTTTCATGTATTTTTTTAATGAATCTAAAAACCCTACAGACCTAGTAACAAGAACTGTTAATAGGTAAGCTTAAGAACTCAGGTCCTCGACAAAGTGGTTTTTTGGTTCTGTTTGGTTTTAAATTTTGTGTGACATTTGCTTAGGTTTATTGAGACATATAGCAAAATCTTCCAACCTTCTTAAGTAAAGTAAATAGAATTTTCATAAAATTTACACTTAGTTCATATTTTGAGTTCATCTTCAGATCTTTTTCTCCTGTGAAGGCTATTTTTAAGTGTACTTTTAATTTTATGTATTAATTTATTTTGGAGGCCTACTCAAAACCTTCTGTAATTAAACCTTTTTTACTGTTCAGAAGACATCTATAATTCGAGAGATTACTGCTACAGATGGAGGTAACAGGAGCAGTAAAGTTGAACTTGCTGTAACTGTAACCAGTGCAGAAAACCAGCCTCCACAGTGGGAAAGAGACAGCTATGAAGTTGTTATTCCAGAGAATACAACAAGGGATGCCTCAATTTTGGTAAGGTTGTTTGCCTGTCTGTAGTTCTCAGGCTGCAGAGTAACAGAACATAGTTTATTTTCTTAAATAGTGAGCTTTTATAAGAGTTTTGTGCTTTGTAGCTGAATATCTGGGAGAATGAAAACACAAAAGCATTTAGAAATGTTGCTATACTTGCAGAAGGGTTGATTACACACACTTTTTAAACTGTGCAGACAATCAAAGCAACTTCTCCCCTTGGAGATCCTCGTGTCACTTACAACCTGGAAGAGGGGCTTGTCCCAGAGGCCAACATGCCAGTGCGCTTCTACCTGACTCCAAACAGACACGATGGTTCTGCTTCAATCCTGGTAGCTGAGTCCCTGGATTATGAAACAACAAAGAGCTTTCAGCTGCGAGTGCGAGCACAGAACGTGGCTGCAGTTCCTCTGGCAGCATTCACCACAGTCCATGTTAATGTCACAGGTGTGTGAGCTGCTCAGTGATGTCACGGTATAATCCTGCTCTGTTTTCCTTTAAAGTTTTACAGTTTTCTCTCTGTGTGCTCTTTTTGACATTCTAGATGTCAATGACAATGTCCCATTCTTCACTTCATCCATTTATGAAGCCTCAGTAACAGAGGGAGCTGATGTGGGGACATTTGTCACTCAGGTGTCTGCCACTGACCTTGACGTTGGTCAGCATGGTGAGGTAAGAAAGTGGGCACCTTCATCTCCCTTGATGAAAGCTGTGGAGTAACTTCTGCAGGAGCAATGGCTAAATAGTCTGGAAATCTTCAGCCTAGAAAAGGGATGACTAATAGGGAAATGTAAAATGAAATAAAGTAGTTAATTACATGCTTCTCTGTGTTGCCAGGTGAAAAATGTGACTAAAGCTAGTAGGTGTGAGGCAGAAAATAAAGAGGAAATATTTACACAGCCTGTAGCTTAGTTGAAATGCTTCCTGTAGAATTTCTTTGTGTGGAAAGTTCTACATAGACCTAAAATGAGATTGGATAAATGAGTGGAAGAAAAGCTGTGTTAAAAGCCTCTGGGAATTGGAAATCATTGGCAGTACTGCAAACTGAGTCCTTACAAAATATGGTAAGTTAACACCCAAAGCGGATGTATTCCTTGCTGATTAAACAGATCAAAAATAGATACATCCTCAGAACAAGAGTGCAAACTGAAGTCAAGTCACAAAACCGTGCATATAATAGAGGGTAGAACATGGTCTGTGATCCTGAGCAGGTTCAAATGTAGCTCACCTGTGGATGTTGTAGAAACACTTGGAATCTTCAGCTGAGTTTGAGTGCTGCAGCACAAGCACTGTGCAAACATGTGCTAGTGAAATCAGGAGCTGATTAGACAAATTATTTTCCTTTACAGATCAGCAGTCAAGGAAGTTAATTGGTTTTAGACCAGATTGCTGAGGCTGCAGTTGTATCCAGCTTCCTTGGCCTGATCAAGTACTCGGATATGGGACAATTCTTCCTCTCTTTAAGTACTATTCTGGCTGTGAACTATTCAACAAAAGGAAAGTATATATTAACTTTCCTGTGCTTTTTAATCCTGTAGATAACTTACTCCCTGTTACATGACAGTGGCAGAGACTACACCTGTTTTCGCTTGGACCCCCAGACAGGCTCCATTTACACCACCTCGGTGTTTGACAGAGAGGAGAAGGGCTCCTACCTTCTGGAAGTCAAGTCAATGGATGGCTCTGAATCAGCTCGACCTGGAAAGCATGGGAAGCCAAACTCTGGTAAGAGACAGATGGCTGTGGGAAGTGTGATATTACTTGGATTGTGTCTGAAAACAGAAGCTCTGAAGTACAAGATTAAATGGTAATTTCCTTTTTTTTTTTCATGTCTTTTTGGGACAGTGTCTATTGTTCTGGTTTAGTGGTGGCTTTTTTTCTGTTTATTCGTGCAGCAGTTGTGTCAGAGCTCAAAGATAAGCTTTACATGATGATCAACCAAGATTTTTGTTCTGAAATGAAAAAAAAACCTATAGACCTTCATATTTAGAGTTTAGAGAGTGTTTTCTAGCAGGCAAAGATGTGCCTGTTATCTACAGGATGCAAATCTTTGGGCCGTGCAAGTGTTTCTCAAAGTACTGCATATGTATGGTATTCAGTCAAAAGTAATTATGAAGCAGGAATATGCAAGATAGAAAATCCTTTTCTCAATTGACCACCCTGCTTAAATAAAAACTTAAAATTTTGTGGCTTCAGAACAAAAAGTTATGACTAAGCACTGTACAACTGCCATATTAGGCATCAGTTGCTCAATTATTCACGTAGTATGTGTTTAAACAAATTGGATGTGACATTTATTTGATACCCGAGTACCTTTGAGTAATGTCGGTATATAGGTGGTCCACAGCCCTAAGGGTTTGGTTCTGTATTGTCTGCAGACAATACAGGTTCTGTATTTGTCTGCATTGAATGTGCAGGCAGACAGTGAAGGGGCTGTAGCTGACAGAAGTGTCCCAGCTGGGGCTGTGACCTGTGGCTCCCTGTCTCTGCAGACACGGCGTACGTGCGCGTGTCCGTCAGCGACGTGAACGACAACCAGCCCGTCTTCGCCCAGAGCGTCTACGAGGTGAGCGTGGATGAGGACCAGGATGTGGGCTCCACCATCCTTACAGTCAGTGCTAACGATGAGGATGAAGGTAAAGCACTGCAATCCCCCACAGCTCTGTCCAAAATATTAATCAGTTTCATTAATCTTAGCACTCCAAGGCATATTTGGTGGTGTGAGAAAAGGAAATGTCTTTCTGTTCCCAGATTTTAAAACTTCTTTAAGTGTGCACTGCTTAGGCATGAACATAAGTTCATAACTGTGAGCTGTGAGGAACAGTCTCTTATTTCAGGAGACATGCACTAATGTGGGATGATAGATCATTTCTGTGCCCATGGATACAAATTTTTTATAGATCAGATCATTTTCTTACAAGTGGGTGCCAGTAAAAATGTCCTGGTTAACTAGAATAAGTCAGACTTGATTTCAGTGAGATTCATTTGCTTTCTCTGTGATAGTTTTGCTTTGTTTGTTTGTTTTATTTGAATCTAGACTTGTTAAATGCATATGATGAACTTTAGCTACGCTGTTTTATCCACAAATCAGCCAGAAATTCAGCCACTAATCATGTAAAAGTACATTACCAGTGCTCATAAAAGAGAAAGGGATCAAGTACATGCTTGCATCTTTTGACCATGGAGCACTGCTAATTCATCTGCACTGTGTGGTGAAACTGTTTTTTTTTTTGTTGTTGCACAAGTCCCAAGGACTGTTCTCTGTGTGTTTGTGAAATGAAAGGAAATCCTGACTTCACTGGATTCCTCCCACTCTGTAGGAGGCTGAGGCAAATGTGGTGAAGATGTATTGCAGAAGGATTTACCTACTCAAGGAACTTTTAGTTTGGGACTTAGGCTGCCTGTCAGTCTGCTCTATAGTGTTGGGCAGGGGACCTGATATGATGGATATATGGCACTTAATTTCTGCCCACTAAATAAAATTAAAACAGAATTATTACTTCATTACATAGACACATTTTGTAGAGACAAACTGCAGTTGGACACATCAGAATTGAAAATGCTGCTAAGTAGTCTGACAGAGCTGCATGTTTTAAAAGACCACAAAATGATAAAATAATAATACCCCTAATCAGTTATTGTGTGATTTTTACTTCATCTTACCATCAGTCTACTTCAAGAAATGTGTGTTTTCTGACACTGTTGGTAATTGACAGGAACAAATGCTAAACTACGGTATCAGATCACAGCTGGAAACACAGGAGGAGTGCTGGATGTAGATCCAGAAACAGGAGCCATTGTCATTGCCCAACCACTGGACTATGAAGAAACAAAAATGTATGAGATCCACTTGTTGGCCTCTGATGGGAAATGGGAGGATTATGCAGTTATCATCATCAACATCATGAATAAAAATGACGAGGCTCCAGTTTTTTCTATCAATGAATACTATGGAAGTATAATTGAGGAACTGGATTTGTTGCCAGTCTTTGTACTTCAGGTAGTGTATGCAGTTTCACAGATTATAATATTTCAGTTAAAGAGCTCAGATTACTGTGGCACAATTATGTTAAAAATAACTCAGCACATATATATTAATGAAATTTGTTTTGACTAAGTTTTTTTTATCACTGAAGAGAAGAAATTCAAGTTTGTGGAAAAAAATATAAATTACAGGGATAGTAAGTAGGATAAACAGTATGGATTTTTTAATCCTGAAAAGCAAATAATGGACAATTTAAAGTAGTTATCAGAATGTAATATTTCAATTACCTGTATGAATATGAAGAATATAATATTATATTAGTACTAAAATTTTTAAATTGTTAACATTGTTAAAAATGCACATTTGCCTGCCCTGAATTGTCCCTGGATTTGCTATTCCCTGGCACGCACATGTTAATACCATGTCATATACTTTTGCTTGGACTCCTTTAGACTGGAGCAGCATATAGGGTGCGATGCAATCACTGCATATTTAATGCTTTCTATGTTTGGGTTTTTTTCAAAACTATTGTAGGTTATGGCCAGTGATCCTGACAGTGGTGTTGATGGAGGAGATTTGAGATATTCCTTGCATGGGTATGGTGCAGCTGACATTTTCACAATAGATGAGAAAACAGGCAGCATTTATTCCCACAAGAGGCTGGACCGGGAAGAGAGAGCACTGTGGAGATTCATTGTGTTGGCTACTGATGAAGGTGGAGGAGGACTTACAGGGTTTGCAGATGTGATCATCAACGTGTGGGATATAAACGACAACGCACCCATGTTCACATGCATGCCTGATGACTGCAATGGGAATGTCTTTGAAAACTCTCCTGCAGACACCTTAGTCATGGAAATGGCTGCAGTCGATCGTGATGACCCAAACGTTGGTCTGAATGCTGTCCTGACGTACAGGATAACAGAGAATGTGAAGAACGAGTTTGGTACTGACATGTTTAATATCAACCCCAGTACCGGGACCATCCACGTGGCAGGGGGACTGCTGGACCGGGAGAGGACTGAAAGTTATTTTCTCACTGTTGAAGCAAGAGATGGGGGAGGGCTAACGGGAACTGCCACTGCCACTGTCTGGGTTGCAGATGTCAACGATAACGTTCCCAAATTCACAAAGAAGCTGTGGCAGGCAGCAGTTCCTGAGAACAGTGCCATTGACTCAGCAGTCCTGCAGGTGTGTGCTACGGATGCAGACATTGGGGAAAACGCAGACTTAATGTTCAGTATCATCGGGGGGGACCCAGATGAGAAGTTTTATATTGAGAATGACAAAGAATGGCAATGTGGCACAGTTCGACTGAAAAAAAATTTGGATTTTGAGAATGCCCGTGAAAGGCAGTTTAATCTTACTATTACTGTGGAAGATCTGGATTTTTCTAGTGTTGCAGTGTGCCTGATTGAAGTTGAAGACTCAAATGACCACAGCCCAGCTTTCCTTTCTCAGTTTATTCAAACAAACCCTGTATTTGAAGATGTGCCTGTAGGTACTACAGTAACCACAGTGAAGGCTACAGACAAGGACTCTGATTTGAATGCGAAGGTTATCTATTCAATAAAGTCAGATTCAGACCCTATGAGACAGTTTGTGGTTGACCAGTTTGGTCACGTGGTTGTGGCAAGTGCACTTGATCGTGAAGCCATTGAGAAATATGCTTTAATTGTACAAGCTGCAGATCAGGGGACACCTGCCCGCACTGGAAGTGTTACAGTTTTAATTAACTTGCTTGACATTAATGACAATGGACCAAGGTTTGAAGCGCCATACATGCCTGTAGTTTGGGAGAATACACTGAAGCCTGAAATAGTGCATATGAACCATACCTCAAAGCTGCTTCATGCCTCTGATCCAGATGCTGAGGAAAACGGGCCACCCTTTACCTTTTCATTGCCACCAGAATATCAGAATTCCTTGGACTTTTCTCTTACTGACAACAGAAATAACACAGCAACTATAACAGCTTTGAGGTCCTTTGACAGAGAAAAGCAGAAGGTGTTTCACCTGCCAATAGTTATAACAGATAGTGGGATTCCAGCTATGAGCTCCACAACCACTCTGACTATAACAGTTGGTGATGAGAACGACAACTGCCATGAGTCTGGCCACAAGGAGGTCTATGTGTACAGCTACAAAGGTAAGTGCTAGCTGGATGTAAGATCAGATTCTGGATATTAGATCAGACTAATGAAATTGCAGAGTTTTACATTTTCTTTCTTGCAATCTGTTAATCTATTTCGTTAATGGTTTACAGACTTCAAAACTGCAGCTCCTGTTCTGTAAACTACTAAGTAAAATGGAATAAGTGAAATATATTTCTTAAACTCAGACCTTAGTGTGTAAAAGGTTATCTACTAAAGAACTGTTAGCTGCAAACAGGTATATGTTGAACTTGCAGAAAAATCAGCATTTTTATAAACCCATAAAATATATTTTCCATTAATGAGTGTTCACCTACAGAAGGAATTTTGCAGTTACATTTTCTGAGTTTAGTATGCCTAAATTACAAAAAATATGTGACCAGATCATACTGTAAAAATGAGAGAATGAAGCATCCAGGTTGGCTTGGCTCCAGATTTGAATCTTAAAAATTTCCCATGTTGTTGAACCTGGACTGTGAATTTCAGAAGTATCCTTCCCTGGATTTGTTCCTCCTGCTGTTTTAGAAAAATTGATTGAATGTTCCACTTCTGTGCCAGCTCCCAAGGGCCTGAAAAAATCACCAAGATCTGGCCCAGCCTGGTGTCTTCTTGCCCTTTTCCTTGCCCTAATCAGCTCCTTCTCTCCCAGCTGTACCCCATAAGAAGCTCTCCCTCTTTTTCTGTGTTCCACTTGTGTGCTCTTCAAAATAATAGAGTAGCAATGAAACATTTGGAATTAATTCCTGATGTGATGATTTTTAATTTTTGTTTTGTCAGGGAGTTTTTAAAAGAGTTGTATTTATGTATGATTCTGGTGTTGTTTTGTGCTAGTTCCAGCTTTTCTTCTTTCATGTGGCATCTCCACTGTGCTCACATTGCCAGAACTGGCAGAAATCATATGACAAGCTATGCATTGTTTTAAGAATCTCGGATCATAACCATCACTAAATTGAGCAGGAGTCTGAAAATAATAAATGCAGTAATGAATGTCACAGAATATAAAGTGTACTGAAAAGCAAAAATTAAATGCAGATTTATTGTAATTTATCTCAACAGGAAAATGGTCAACAACAGTGCTTGGGGAAGTGTTTGCACCAGATCAGGATGACTGGGACAATAAAACATTTCTCTCTGAAGGAAAACTGCTCAAGTGAGGATTGTATTTCTGTCAAAATGAGTAATATTTATGCTTGTGTAATTATTTTCTCACCATGTATTTCTCTGTGTTCAGGATGTGCATAAAGCCAGGGTTATTGAGTGTATTAAGGGATGTACCTTTCGAATGCTCTTTTTCACTTGGGTTACAAGGTATTAAGAAATCATTGCATGAAATATTTTTTGCAAGACAACGCAAAATCACACCATGATGTTCATTTTTAGTCAGATGTCATAGTTAATTTACTTTAAAATGTGCATTCTGTAAGCTCCAGTTTAAAAATAGACAGAGTCCATGCTCTCAGATGTTAGGGTTGATGGAATACAAATCCTGAATTTGAAAGCAAAGAAGGGATAATTTCATCAAAAGTGGAGGGGAGTTTGGTGCTCTCCTTTGATGCCTAAATTTACAATTTCATGTGAAAACCATGACTCAGATTAGTGGAGGTTTTTTTTGTTAATTGAAATGTTGAATTGGACTCTTAATTCCTACTTAGACATTATTTGTTCATATTATAAAGTGAGATGGTTTATGGCATAACTATATGCTGTCTGAAAGGGAAAAAATGGATGTGAAAGTGAATTTTAGTCTGTGCTATGACTAAAAGTTTAAAAGCTTTATGTAGCCCAGAATTAAAGATTTTCTGTCCATCAGCAGCCCCTCTGCCTGTTTCTATGCTAAGAGGTCACTGTTCCATAATAATGGTCATGGGAAGATTTCCATGATTGCTAATTACTGGCCCTTTGAGTTGTCCAGTGAAGATCGTGTGAGAGATTTTATACAGACTTACCCTGTTCCAGATAGAGATGTGAGAACCTGGAATGATCAGTGTGATTTTTTCACTCCCCATTCTGACCTCTGAGGCTTGCCCATGATGACTGTTGACCCACCTGGTTCAACTGCACAAATTCAAATTGCAAGTTCAAATTGCTTTTGTTCAACTCTGGGAAAGGCTGAGTGGAAGGAACATCTCTGTATGTTCTGTACATACAGAGATGTACATACATCTCTGTAAAAAATCTGCAGATTGCAATTTCTCAGTTTAGGTGGCTGAAATGCTTTTCTGAGGTTGTTGGATAATTCCCATATGTTTTGGCCCTGTAACCTTCACAGTAACATTTAAAGCCTCCTGAATAGTATTAATGAATAAAGTGAGTCCTCAACTTTGATTTGTTAAGATTTTCTAATTGAAGGTTTCTGTCTAGATCTTTCAGATTAAATCAGAGGACTGGGTCTTTGCTGATGGTGGATTACACTCCTCAGGGAATATACAACTTAAGAGTCAGAGTTTCTGATGGAGTTTGTCCTGATGTTATATCTACAGTACAAGTCCATGTCAGAGACCTGGAAAATGAAGCCGTACAAAACTCAGCCACTGTGCGTTTCTCAGGTTGGTTTTATTTGCTGGTGAGATTTTAGATCAGATGCTTCTTTAACTGAATGTTTACATGTTGTAGGTATTACTAAATCAATACTTGATTTGCTTATCACTGTAGGGTACTTTGTGGCATGTTTCCATATTGTTAAATAAGAGATAAATTGAGAAATTAACCTGTGAGCTCCCAGGTGTTCAGGTTTATCTACTTTTGAATCCCCTGACCAGGTGTCACAGCAGAGGAGTTCATAAGGAGAGATGAACACGGCAAAACGAGGCACGGCGAGCTCAAGGAGTTCCTTGCAAAACTGTTACCTGCAAAGCTGAGTGATGTGATTGTCTTCAGTGTGATGGGCAGGGATGGCAGACAGACAGATGTGAGATTTGCAGTCCGTGCTGGCCCGGCCTATTACAGACCTGAGAAACTGCATGCGGAGATGGCAGCGTTCAAAACTGAGGTTGGTTCTCCTCTGTGGAGCTCAGCCAAACACTGAGTTTGCAGGGTGTGTATCCCAAACCTCAGTGGAAAACTATACTGCATCTGCAGATAAGGGTTTTATAGCTTCACTCAGGGCAAAAACAAGTGTTTAATTCAAGCTTTCTCCCTTCTTTTTAGTGCCATATATGCTGGTATGGTGTGGTTGTACTAACTTCTGGTTCAGTGGATAGTCACTAGAGAGCTGCAGAAAAATGGGTCTGCAGTGCTGCCATGGGGTAGATACCTGTGTTTTCTCCAGTCAGTGTTTCACTGTGTCATCCCCAAATCCCCACATCAGCTTGTGCTTAGACACTTAGAGTGGAGGCTTGATGTCACCCTAACAGAAATTCTACAGTACAAAGAGGTGGCACTTAGAGGAAAAGTCCTGCTGGAAGGAATGTGTGGATTAGGGAACAGTTGGAACAGGTAAGTGAGATGGAGACAACCAGTCCTGTGGTTGCATTTATCTCACCAAAGGACATCTTCAAATACAAAGTGACACGTTCCCCCAGCTTTTACTGTTGTCAGGGGACAATATTTTTTTGGATGGAAGATGTTTTCCTCCCCTTCTTGGTGTTCCCTAGCTCTCCTGCTCTCTGACTCAGTTACAGACACAGCCTGTCTTGGCCACAGCTGGATTTTTCTGTAGCCCTGCACAAAGGCAAAGTGACACTGCTCAGCTTTTCACTTGCCCTGGCCATGTGTGGGTTTAATATATGGTACATCATATGGATGATTTTTCCAAAGAGAAATCAGAACTTTCCATTTGTGTGAATATGGCGGAGTCTGCCTGAGTCTGGGAACCAAACAGGGCTGTCTTAACTTAGTCCCTGCCTCCTTCTTGGTGTATCTTGAATTGCTCTGTGGATTTTGAGATTCTTCAGAGTGACCAAATAGGGAATGCCAGAGACAGAGAGTATTCATGAAGGGTAATGACTGCTTCTTTTACATATTTATTGAATTACTGCTATGATAAGATAGAAAATCCTATAGATTTCAAATATTCTCTGCCATAATGCATGACACCTGAATTCATCAAAATGGTAACAAGGGTATTACTTCACTTATTTTAATGAAAATATATGTTTTTATTAATTATACGTCACCTTTCGATATTTAATTAATAGCTCTGGTGAGTAATCACCAATAGTTTACAGAAAACCAATCATAGCTGGAGAATTCCTCCAGCAGTTTTTCTATGTGTATAACTATAAATATAGAAAATAAGTAATTAGCACTGGAATTATTCCTTGAATTTCTACATAAATAATACGTTTGCATTACCCTCTGGGGATATAGTTTTACAATAGCAACTTTTATTTAGCAGAAAAATAATCGATCCTAATACTTTTTAAAGGGAGCCAAGGTTGTTTTTATACAGTTGTTCAATAACAGTATTACCTAGATGTCTAAATGTGCATTACAGACCCTCCACTTATGGTGACAAATGTGGGCATCAGACACAGACCTGCATTGACAGAGTGCATCATGTCATTACAAAGTATACTCTGTGCCTTTGGGGGCATGGGCAGCAATACATGTTATGATATTTAAGAATATAGAGACAAAGGATTATAAAGATCAAAGTTCTGACGTTGGTGAACTGAGATGACTACACAAATGAGAAAAAAATAGAAGCACTTTAGTATTTATATTTCTTATGTTTTTGTTTTTTCTTATATTTTCAAAGCTTATGTTTAAGATATCTGCCATGTGTTTTACCATTTGGGAAAAAAACTCCATATTAAATACCTAAAGCTTTAATGTTGTTAGTTTAACATTTGTATACCTTGTTTATTTGTGTACCATTGTGAGAGTAGTGAGGTCTTTTGCCTCACTCACCCAAACTCAGGTTTGGGTACTAAATACACATTTCAGTGTATTTGAATCACCAAATACTGATCAAATTCTGAAGCTTTATAACAGACACCTGTGCAAAATTCCCAAATAAGTGGAAGGAGCAAACTGTGATAATTTAGGGGTGCAGGCTGAAGGACAAAAACCCAGGACCAATGGCAGCTCTGTTCTTGTCTCACACGGTAAGCA